TTAGGGCCACTGCACGTATTCCTAAGAAAACGAAAACTAGAAAAGAAAAGAAATAGTGAGCAAATTTGACAAAATTAGAAAGAATCTACCTCAGAACGTGGAATAATACACCACCATATGTTTTGTCTTTTGTGTATGTGGTGAGTAACGGCCCTTAGGGCCACTGCACGTATTCCTGAGAAAAGGAAAACTTGAAAACAAAAGAATTAGTGACCCATAACCGAGAATCCGAGATGCACATCCCTGAATTCGAATCCAGAGTATATATTCTCTGCTCACGCTGGTGACTGGAAGTTTGAAGTTCACCTCAGCTGCACGTAGGGTCCTAGCTAATTCGCTATAAGGGCCCTTCGAAAAAGAGGCTGGACACAATTAGGAAATGAATACTCACATGTATAGACGAGTGCCAACAGTTTCGGGGTATCATGTGGCCCGAACTTTTCTCCCTCTTGCTTTCTAATTTTTAGAAGTGAGGGGAGTGCTTGGCCACCCCACTCTGAACTTTCAATTTTTTATTATTATTATTATTATTTTGATGCGCCGCATCACGTGCGGCGCATCTCATGCGCGTGCGCGCGCATGAGATGCGCCGCAAGTATGGTTGGTTCCCTACCTGCGTTTTCCCTCCCCACCCACCCTTTGCATGCATTTCCGAGTTGGTACAGTGCCACGTAAGCAGTGCCACGTCAGCAGTGCCACGTCAGCAGTGCCACGTAAGCAACAGTGCCACGTCAGCAGTGCCACGTCAGCAGTGCCACGTCAGCAGTGCCACGTAGGCAACAATGCCACGTCACTAGTGCCACGTCACAGTGCCACGTAAGCAACAGTGTGTCACAGTGCCACGTAAGCAACAGTGCCACGTCAGCAGTGCCACGTAAGCAACAGTGCCTCACAGTGCCACGTAAGCAACAGTGCCACGTCAGCAGTGCCACGTCACAGTGCCACGTAAGCAACAGTGCCACGTCAGCAGCGCCCCGCCACCATGACGGGCGCAGCTCTGGGCATGCCAGGCCAACTGGCCAACGAGTCTCTTGCCGACTACAAACAGCGGTTCCAGGCTCAGCTCGCTCTGATCGAGGTTGAGGAACAGCGCCAGCTGGCAGCCGAGGTTGCCTGCCTACAGGCTGAAGCAGCGGCAACAGCTGAGAAGCAGCGGCTACAGGCCGAAGTAGACGCAGATACCCACAAGGAGGCCCAGGTTCTGCTGCAGCGGCATGAAGTTGCCAGCATCGAAAGACTCAAGTTCCGACACTTTGAACCGTCCAACGGCGACGATGCGACACCGGAAGAGCAGCATAAGGAGTTCCTCTCCAAACTCGTGACACGGTTGTTGTACACTTGCAACTACCAACAGTCCGAGTTAGAGAAACAGAACCAGGAATTGCAGCAACAGTACCAGGATCTGAAGACACAACACCAGGAGTTAGCAAACCTCCGCCGGATAGTGCAGAGCCACGAGGATGCTACACGGGCACTCAATTCCCGTGTATTGGACCTGGACCACGTCGTACCAGGACCAGATGCTGGTGAGTTCAGCAGTGCACCCTCTCACCGCCAACTGGAGCAACGCGTCGACCACGTTGTCGCAATGCTCGGCGACATCACCACCTTCGCTGCGCCGACCACCATCAGCAATCAGCTGGATACTTTGAAGACCGAGGTCCAGCAACTGCAGTCGACGAACACGGATGGCAACAATCCAAAGCAATACAAGATGCCAACTTTTCAACTGGAGAAGTTCGATGACTACACGCATCAGGACCCGGTGCTCTGGTGGGAAGCTTTCACGACGCAACTTCGGATTCTGCCTATCGCCAAGCACGTGTACATCGGCGCCCTGTTCATGAACTCAAAGGGCGGATGCCAGATCTGGTTAACCCACCTGGCAGTCACCCACGGCATCGACATCGCAGATCTGAAGGACAAGACCACATGGGAAGAGTTGACACGGCTGTGGAAGAAGCGGTTCATCGTCGACGACGCACCAGCACTAGCCATCAACCATCTCTTCACCATGACTCAAGGCAACACAGCAACACGTGACTGGCTCACGGAATGGCAGAAGATCGCGGCAACGCTCGATCTTGACTCACCATTTCCGCATCTGCGCCGTGAGTTCTACAACAGGTCATGCGCTGCATTGAGCCAGGCACTTGGCGATCGCGAGCAGTATGCAACCTTCGCTGAGATCATTGACAAAGCGAGGGAGATCATCAAGACCAACAGGGCGGCTGCACACGAGAAGTCAACGTGGCAGCCAACCTATGTGGAGAACGTGAGAACTGGTCCGCGACAGCAGCAGTTCGCTGCAATCCAATCGGACAACACTGTGGAAGACCCGGCAGCCACCCAAGCGTCACGTGAGGGAGATCAGGTGGCTGCTGTCCAGCCGCGAAGCAACAACAAACCCCGAGTGAACGGGAAGGCGAAATCAGCATCGCCGGCCGGAAATGGACAGCCAACACCACCATGAATCAAGTTCGGCTTGATCGAGGCCGAGTACAAGTACCGCGGCCATTACGGCTGCTGCTACTGGTGCAACAGCACCAAGCACAAGACCTCCCTTTGCCAGGATCAGGCCAAGGAGGATGTGCGGCCTCGTCTTAACTCGGGAAACTGAGTTTCGCGGGAGGTGAGGCGACTCCACCTCCCACTCCGCCAGATTTGGCCGCCTTGCTAGCGGCCTCCTACACATCTGGGGAGGATGCGAATGTCGTAAGTTCTCGGTATGCTTACGAGGACTATGCTGTCCACTTGGTCCCACCGCTGGACCAACCGCTCCACGTGCAACAATCTACCGCATGCACGGTTTCATCACCATCGGCAACCGATTCGGCAGCTTCGCCGCCATCTACCGTCGGGGTTTCAAAGTCATGGTCAAGACTTGAAGAGCTCGACCCGTTGACATTTGCGGACTTCCAATGGATGCCCCTTCCCCGGTCCGGTCGATTGCCGAAACCGCATTGCAACGTGCTCAAGGCACAATTGCGGGATTACTTGCACACTGCAGTACCGACTCCGTTGATGGACGCCGGAGTAAAGGTTGTCGACCTTCACGCCTACATTGCGAAGATCGACCGCGAGTTCAAGACGCAATGGTACGACGACATCGACGCACCATTGCTATATGTACGCATTCAGATCAGAGAGGCGACCTGCAACGCTTTGATCGATTGCGGAACATCTCGCAACTACATGAGTCAGGACTTCATGGTACGCGCCGGCCTTGGCCCACGAGTCCGAAGGAAGTCCCAACCCACGCAAGTCACGTTGGCGGACGGTCACACGCACAAGTCAATCGACCGGTGCATTGATGACGTCCCAGTGTACTTTGCCCCTCACGCAAG